CCTGGCCGCGCCTCCTCCTCCTCCGCCGGGCTTGCGGGGCGGGGGCTTGGGCTGGGGGGCCGGCGGGGCGGCGGTGGCGAGCTCGGTGCGGTTGTAGTCCATGCAGAGCGTGTCCGGGTTGCCCTGCTCGGGGAGGCGGTCGCAGCGCATGCGGTCGGGCCAGGCGAAGCCGTACTGGCGCATGAGCGGGGCGCAGCCGGCCTTGGCCCGCTGGCACACGCTGCGGCAGGGCGGGAGCGGCTTCTTGTAGTCCTCCAGGCAGATGGGCGTGTACATGCTGCACAGGAAGAAGCGCAGGTCGGCCGAGCACTGGATCTCCACCAGCGGCCAGAACTGGTGCACCTCCAGGCCCGCCTCGTCCTGCGTGTCGTGGTTGAACTGGTTGGGCATGTAGGTGTAGTTGTAGCCGATGCCTTTGCACAGCGGCACCGTGACTGCAGGAGGGAGATTACATATCTGAATGATTCCATGTGAATAGCTTTCTCTGTTGGAAAATAGTTTGTATGGGTATATAGTGTATGCAGGTATTACACTGATGAGATCCTTTAGAATCTTGTAACACTTATGTCAGAAAAGAGTACTGCGGAACAAGCAATATACAGAGATAGCAGTTTGAACAAGGACAGCCTCAGAAGCACATCACAGCTGCTCCTGAGATTGACAAAAACACTGAGCCAAATTAGCTGGGATGGGCATCCCCAAGTTCATCCTGGGAGGACGCCACTATTTTAAAGAGTGTGCTCCCACCTTGTAATTCCTTTAAACTGAACCGTGGGGTCCCAATTCTGGTTGGGACCACCATGGCCCGATGGGGGTGGATTCTACTCACCACCCATGCCATTTTTCCAGCCCCAAATGGCACTGCGGGGGGGGGGGAGTGTTGGTAGAGGTTCTAAGGTCACATGGGAACGAAGGAGATTCTAAGGTGGCTATAGAGTTCACAAGTCTCTCTCAGAAGCAGAGGTGCCTACAATGATCTCTAGCATTATATTTTAGAAGTGGAGGCCCGCAACAAAATGTTGCGTACTGTGTTGTAGTTTATTTTTAAGTTGTAGTTGTAATCGCTGTTCCCCCCCTCCGTTCCTGGAGCTGCCACCTGAGAGGTCTGGCGGGCGGCGGAGGAGGCAGCGAGAGGCGCCACCGTCCCCTTCTTCATACAACTTCGCCCTCTCTCCAGCTCCAGCAGCGCCAATCCAGTGGCCACGCTCTCAAGGCTATTTATTCCGAGGGCGGCCAGGCTCCGCCTCGCCTGTCCCAGCGACCTATCACGAGGGCTCCGGGCGGGGAGCGGGGACCCCGACGCGGCAGCCTGGCTTAAGGTGGATCACGGGTGGTGGCCGGGTTTGGAGAGGGACCGGGCTGCTGGCCCTTTAAGAAGCCATGCTTGGGCTTGGTTTGTGTGTGTTGTTTTGGAAAGGTGTCGATGGCTCGCTTAGCACTTCGGCAGGTAAGTTATAAGAAAGGATTGTGCTCCAACCACCCTAACTCCGAATGCCCATTGCCACTTTCTGGACTATCCCTTTCCTACGGCCGGCTTCAGCCAAACGGGTGGCGCGATTTCCATTAACAATAAAAGTAAGTCTCCCCTTCCCCGTCTCCCCACCAGGTTTTGAGTCTCACTGGATACATTCCCGATAAACCGGATCGAAGCGCGTGCAGTGGGCGCTTACTCCACTGGCTGCTTGAGTCGTGGCCAACAGCTCCAGGGCTGCAAAGTCTGCAGCAATCAATTAAGCCGGGGGACTCCAGGCATCCGTTTGGGATTGTTTAGGATGCTCTAGTTCAACTGGTGAGGAGGAGCAGCTTAGCCATGCCCGTGTGTGGCTCAGTCGTGTTTCGGAGTGGCTGGGGCTTTCCAGCTTTCCCTTCCAGGATGCTGCCTGCCTCTCTCTCAGTCTCTCCTGAAAACCCACTCGGCTTCTTCTAGAGAAATTATTCCTGACTGATCGGCTTCAGCCACCTAAGGGCATACCTGTTCTTCTCCCACCTTCCCTGCCTCATAATTTCCTCTGGGGCAGTGCCCTCCTTGCTGTGATTATGAAAAGCAAGGGTGGTGCACACTGGTGGTGCTAAAAATAATTAAGGGTGTGGGGCGGTGTGAAGTTTTGCCTGTATCGGTTCTCTCTGCGTAAGCTGGGCAGGGAGACGGAGATCTCTCGTGCTCCCCTGGTCAGTACAGGGAAGTCTGCGGGAGGTGGCTTGTTCTTCATGATCCAAGTGGGAGCAAACCTAATTAAAGGCGAGGAAACTTCTGCCTCCGACTTTTCTTGAACTTGAGCCCCTGTCCTGTCCCGAGCCTTACACCTGCTCATCTACCCAGTCTGGCACCTTCCAGCTTTGGCTGATGACCACTCTCAGATCTCTTCCCACATCTGAGTACATCCGTATGGTGCATGTACGAATGGAGTGGACAGAGAAAAGGGGTTACTAGGGTCCCAACAGCTGGAGTGGTTCCCTTCCCCTCTGTTGTTGCCTGGTTTTAGTCCCAGCCCCATCTCTGAGCCGAGCCCAGGACTGGCCAGCCACCCCATCCGGGCAGGCAGAAGGCTCTGTTTGACAAACGAAATAATAATCGTATGGCATTGTGTGTAGAACAGCCAGGATATCCTAGGATTGTCTGGCAGCCGCAAGTTCTAGCTCTTAGCGTTGTGCTAGTGGCGAGGTAGGCTTGTTTTTTTTTTAGGGGCTGAGAGAGCTCTGAAAGAACTGTGGCTGGCCCAAGGTCACCCAGCTGGATTCATGTGGAGGAGTGGGGAATCGAACCCGGTTCTGCAGATTAGAGTCCGCTGCTCTTAACCACTACACCAAACTGGCTTTAGTTCCAGTTCATAGTAAAATTGTTTTAAGCCTTTCCTCAGTTGTGTTAGTCTCTCCCTGCACCCAGAAACTTTGTTTCTACTTGGGCATAAGCGCTACTTCGGCTGTAAATAAAACAGGGTGATAACAGGGGGGGGACCTGTCCGTCACTGACTATCAGTCTCCCCAGGGTCTTGCACAGAGTTTCCCTATCTGTGATCCTTTTGCCCAGGGATACGGGGAACTGAACCTGGGCTCTTAAAGACACAGAGCAAAATTGTCTGCTGTTGGCTGATGGCTTCCCCAGCAGTGCAGCCTCCCTTTGGGGAGCAGGAAACCCACAAGAGCTAGTGTGGGTTTTGGTGCAGAACTGGCAGAGCCGGGTTCAAATCACTGTGCGTGCATGAACCTTTCTGGGTCACTCTCTCTGCTTCTCAGCCCAACCTACCTCACAGGATTCTTGTGCAGAGGAGAGGCAAACTATGCATGCTGCCCTGCACTCCATGGAGAAAGGCTGATGGCACTCTTTATGGTAATTGATTGCTGCTAGTGCCTCGCCACTGTTATACAAACTGCCTGCTAGCACTTTGTGATGGGTTTTACATTCATATTTATATTTGCTCTGTTTTATCTGTTTTAAAACTTTTATGTAAGCCACCCTGGGCCTGCTCCGGCAGGGAGGGTGGGGTATAAATCAAATAAAGATTAAAATGCAATCGATTAATCAGTGCAGACTGTGCACAGGTGTTATGAGACCGGTGGAACTTGGGTGCGCCAAATAAACATTGCCAAGACCGGCACAAACCCTTCTGCTGATTCACAAATTCTAAATATATACATTTTACAGGCATGAGGACTAATCACATGACTCTTTAAATTAAATTTAACGTTCTCCTTTTTATCATGGAGGCATGATTCAGAGCTTGGAAAGAAGGCCTGAGCAAAAAATAATAATTTCTGGCTATATGTTTGATTTGATGAGACCCAGCAGGATAAAAGTCTATGAAGGAAACACTAGGGACATTTTTCTCTGCAGCAGTCTCTGGCCTACACCCTGACAGACTGGACCATAAACTAGCTGCCTGGTCTGGGAGGAAGGGGAATTGCTAGTTATGAAATCCTTGGAAAACAAACAATTAAAAACTGTCTGTGATACTTGTTAAAAGGGGCACACTCTAATAAAAATACATACTTAAATTAATTTCATTGCAATAAATGAGACTTCATCGTCCTTCACTTCAGCTGATCCATGGAGTGTGTGTGTGTGTGGGGGGGGGGAATGTGATTCTTTGGTATAAAACAGGAAAAGCCATTTCTGCCACACAGCAGCACTGTGTATGAGGATTTTGATTTCTGGCTCCAAATCTAAAGACTCCTTAAACTATAGATTCAGGTGGGCGGACGTGTTGGTCTGAAGCAGCCGAACAAAGTTGGGAGTCCAGCGGCACCTTTGAGACCAACAAAGTTTTATTCAAGGTATACGCTTTCATGTGTAATCTATCTTCAGATAGAGACCTTGAAATATAAAATCTCCATGCATTTATGAGGATTTTAGAGCCATCAGAACATCTGAACCATACACTTATTTGGAAGGAAAATGCTACTAAAATCCACGCAGTTTAATTCCAGGTAAACAAGATTCTGAGGAGAGCATGAGAGACTGAGGAACACTGTTGGGTGTGGATGATGGAAGATCTCTGTGAGAGATGTTGGTGAATGCCGATTGATCCAAAAAGGAGGTGATGCCTTTGGCTGTGGAGAGAAGTGACCCCCTCTGATTCCCTGCCCCCTTTCCCCTGAGACTGCAAGTTTCAGTCCACTGGGGCAGTTTGGTTCTGAAAAAGAAGAAGAGAAGAGATTGGATTTATACCCTGCCCTTCACTACCTGAAGGAGAGCAGTTTACAATCCCTCCCCCTCCCCACAACAGACACCCTGTGAGGTAGGTGGGGCTGAGAGAGCTCTGAGGGAACTGCCCTTGAGAGAACAGCTCTGAAAGAACTTATGACTGACCCAAGGTCACACCAGCAGCTGCATGTGAAGAAGTGGGGAATCAACCCCAGTTCTCCCAGATTAGAGTCCATACTCTTAACCACTACACCAAACTATGCACCATGAAATCCTGTTTACTGAGTAATCATTAGACAGAAGCAACATCCCGTGGCAACTTGCATGTGTGAATGAGCCATCCTAGTTCATCTTGCAGGTAGACTATTCCTCTTGCCTGCCTCCCGTCACTTCGTACCCAATGAATGCAAGACTTTGCCTTGCTGGGAACAACTGAAATCCTACACGTGTTTATTTAGAGGAAAACTCACTGAATTCAGTTAGACCTCTCCTTGTGTAAGTGTTCTTGCACATGAAAGCTTATGCCCAAAATGAAACTTTGTTGGTCTTAAAGGTGCCACTGGACCCAAACCTTGTTCTATTATTTTACATTGCAGGAGTTTTTCTCGCCCAGCTGACACTGGCCAATCAGATGCCACCAGGAAGCCCAGAAGTTACCTTACCCCAAGCATTCATCCATTAAGGTGCACTGCTTCTAATCCTGGAGGTCCCATTGAGTTTATCATGCCTACCATTATTTATTTCTCATATTTATAGCTCGCGGTTCCAACAAGCAGGCTCAGGTCAGGTAAC